TTTTTTTTTTTTTTTTTTTTTTTTTTTTTTTTTTTTTTTTTTTTTTTTTTTTTTTTTTTTTTTTTTCAAGGATACATAGGGTTTGCTGATGCCTGTGTGTAATGGGATAGGTGGGATCACGAATAGGGTATTATTGGTTGTTGTAGGTGGTGTTATGCCGCTAAACTGGTATTGTCCGATGCTTGGTGATGAGTTTTGAATTCTGCTTAATTGTCAGCTCATTTTGGTACAGTAAATCTTTTTTTTTTTTTTTTTTTTTTTCAAACATCAGGATTAATTTATACAGTTTGAAACGTTAATGAAAAATAATAAAGAATAAGTCACTGGGCTGCCTCTACTTTAAGACAGTTACAGCTTCTGATTTCTGTTTATCAAGATCACGACTAAATCCCTGCTGAGGGCTCGTCTAGTTTATAGGCTTCACCATATGTATTTTACCAGCATACCAGGGAAAAAAAATAAGCGTCCATCATCCCTGATGGTGCGGAAAACAAGACGGGAAAACTTCTGCCCCTGCGCGCACCATCTGATACGAAAGCTCCTGCTTCAGCGGCTCAAAGAACAAACAATAAAAGTTGAAAAGCAGCGGCACTTTTGCAAAGATACATCGCTTTGGGTGAAAATTCAATCTTCTTTCCATGCGTATGGCGACGTAACACAATGCCAGGGTGCAGACAAAGCTCACCAATGTGCAGCCGTTGTAACTGCACGTGTGGCGGAATAATGGGGTCAGGGTTGTGAAGGAGGAGGTTGGAGGGGGAGGGAGGGATTTTGACAACAAAACGCGCATATAAATTACAGCGATAAACATGTTATTTATAGGCGCGCCATAAATTGGCTATGCTAATTTCTGCTGATTTCTCTCCGCGCCCGGCGACTTTTGCTGATGCCGTTGCGCGAAAGAGGGGAAGGGAAACGCTGGCGCTGCTGCGATCGGATGCGATAAAATGCGTGTGCACACAGCGTCCACTGCGCCTGTACGGTGTTTCCTGCAATTATGCGAATTTCGATTGGTCGGATGAGCCGCTCTCCTCCCCTGCTGCTATACTCGTGCAGTTTCAGCTGAAAAAAGTGGGGACAAAAAGGCGCGGAGTGCTATGATCGGGCAGGTTTTTTTTTTAATTTAAACGCCAGCTTCGACTTTGTATCATCATTTGGTGCTGATTACTTTATTAATTCTGGAATGTAACTATTTATACATCTTTAAATTTACCACCTTCATGAAAACAACACGTAATATTTTATTTTTAAATTTGAGAAATACAATGTGATCTCATTTCTAACGTGTGGTCTCCCTAGTTGGAGTTATGTGATGGGGACAAAGACAAGATACATTTTTCCAAACGAAAATCACATTCTTAAACTGAATGTGATTGGCTGTATCATGAGTTAATCTTATTGTAAAACCAAAAGAAAATTTTTCAAACACGTTTAACTGACAATCGATGGTTTTTAAAAATTTCCCAATCAAATCTTTGATAAAAAATTTTTGATAAAAATATATTTATGTAAAGAGCTGTTTTGCGTTTGTGGGTACACTCACGGAAAAAAATATTAAAAATAACGAAACGTAAAATCGAGTTTTTTCCATCATCAAGGTAAGATTTATGGGTCATGTGACAAAGCTTTTTCGTTTACAATCTAGTTGTTTGTTTAAAGTTTATGACATATGATTGTCATACCGTAATTGCTTCAACAAAAGCAATAAAACAATGATTGTGATTGGTTAGGACGTGAGAGAAGCACGTGTGACTAAATATTCCAAAATAATGCACCTACATTGCCAAATATCGTTCAGGTTGATAAGATTAAATTCTCACGGTCGTGTGGTACAACTATAAATTGAACATCTAATTTTTGAAGAAAACATTCGTAATTTACCTCTACATCAAGATGATTCTTTTGAAAGTAATTGCTGCATTTTTGGTGATCCAAGGTAGGTGCTTTACCAAAGAGCATATATTTAAGAGTACTTAAAATATTCTCTAAAGTGTCTGTTTTCTCAAAATTCTTTTAAAATACTCGAGTAACGAAAAAATATGGTTAAAACTTGTTATAATTAAGATCAAGGAACATATGTAAGTAATTTCATGGCAAACGATAAAATTTTAATAATTACATAATCTTGAAATCACATAACATCAAGAGTTTAGTGGATGGCAATTTTTTCTGTCACCTGTGACATAACTGCTTTTAAACATTAACTGTTTTTTATTCTATTAATTATTATTCTAAAATTTACTTTTATGTAGGTTGATATCTCTGAATAAGTAAATAATTTACAGCAATCTGGTAATGAAAACCGTGGTTGTATTTATTTAATTTTGTAAAACAGTATGAAAAGGTGGGTACAGAGTGATGAATCTGGGTGCACAATGATATCGGGAATTGAAGATATTTTTTATCTTTAAATATAGTTATCAAACGTAAAAAAAGTATGGAGTTTCACATCAACCATACGTTAATTGCAACTACTGCTTGTGCCATAAGCAAAGCGGTAATCGGTCTCGTACCAGCACTCTTATGAAACTCACAATCATTATTTTATTTGTATAAATTAATGTATCCTATATACGTATATGCTTAAAAATCTAACAAATTTTTCATTGAACCAGTTATAAAGGTTCATGGACATAGGGCGAAAGAAAGTGATTTTCCATTTTTCGTGTCTGTAAATATGAGATCATCTCACGGCTTCAAGTTTCGGTGTGGCGGTGTACTTGTTAAAGACAACTATGTCCTCACGACAGCTACTTGCGTGGTAGATGGTACCAAGGACGACTATCAAGTCGTTGTTGGCACTATTTCAATTAACCCCAACACGAAAAATATAAATGAGCAGCGACCCTCTATCAGCACAATTTTATTCCACAATCGTTTCAATAAAAAGTAAGACATTGATTAACAATCAATCACCCAATTACTAAAAAATCAAGGTTTAACCGGTAACTACAAATATTTTTAGAACTTACGAACATGATTTAGCTATCTTGAAGTTGAAAAACGGAGTAAAACTCAACAAATACGTACGAATCATCGAGTTACCTGAGCCTCACGAAAATCCAAGCAAAGGAAATATGGATCAGTTTGTGGTTGGCTACGAGTATATGTTCAGTTATGGACTGCAATATTTCAAAGGTCATGTCATCTTCAATGAATATGAATCAAAGTATTACTTCAATAACGAAGAAGAGGAGGTATAAGCATGAATTACTAAAGTTTGTTGTACAAAAATTTGAGGGAGAAAAAATTTATATAAAATTTGTTGTTTCTTAGGCAATTATGTCAGCCGACGTATGTGTTGAAAAAAGTGGAGATGGATACAAGCTAATTGGGTTTGACAATGTAGGAGCCATCTCCCATGTTTCACCAGATGTCAATTGGATTAAAAATAATATCGTAAACAATGCAGAAGAAGACATTATCCAATGTAGAGAAGAGTGTTTCAAAAGTTGTTATGGAAAATCTACCAATGATTATATGTAACAACCCTTTTATACCTCTATTGATAAGATTTGGAGTTCAACTTGCTTTGAAATATTTTTTTTTTCATTATTTTTTTTTTTTTAATGTGAATATGTCACATAAACTAATACTTTTGTCATGTACATATCAAATCTGAATGAAATCGTGTGTACAGTTAAGGAGATGATAAAATCATAAACTTTTTATTTTGGATCTTGTGTTTAACAGTGGCTAATGTAGGGGCTGTACGAAAAAATTAAAAAAAAATCGACTACTTTCTTACTGTCTCACTACGCTTTACGTAATTATAGATAAGAAGTTTATACAAAAAGAAATCATGAAAAACAGACATGTTTATGATGTACGATTCAAGTTTTAAAAAATTAGTTCACGACTTACGTGTCATGTATACTTAAGATAAGCGAACATCAACTCGTCAGTTTATTAAAACTCAAAAAAGAATGAATATTAAAAAATGAGCCATTCAATTATATTTAACTCCTATATATTTTTTTTTGGATTATTTTATTGCATGTACTTGTGCAATTACACGTATAATACTCACTTTGTCCTTATTTAGCATACTCAACCGTCTTTCAATATCCATAATGAGTCATCTTATTATTAAGTGTCAAATGTACTCATACGTCATGTTAAAAAAAATAAAATCACAATAATAAAAAATCTTTTAATTAAACTAATTTTAACAAATGCTTTAAAATAATTCCTGCATTCACACGCATACAAGCAACATTGTTCAAATATCGAGAACTTCTAGGGTTGGGATTCACTACATTTATTTTTAAAAAGCTTTGTTGTTCTCATAGTCATACTTTAAAACTTCAAAAAATAAATATTGCCTTTAATACCATTTTAGTGATAAGAAAAATAACATTTATTATGTACGTATATTTCTAACACGTTTTTGTCCCATCGCCTCACTTAGTTTTTGTTCCCCCAAGGGAATGGAATGGAAGCTCGCCGGTTCCATCAGACGTTCCCAGTGCTTTTGTAGGCACCGAATCGTAAGTTAGATGTAAAACTAATATTGCCATTGTCGCTCGGCAAAGGGGTCTTTGAGTTCTGAACTTGCCCGCCGGCTCACTCCGGAGTCTAATTATAACTTTTTTCCTTTTTTTTTTTTTTTTTTTTACTTTTTTCTTCTGTTTTTTGAGGGAAGAAGAGGACGAAGCTTTTCTGATTACACAAGGACGTCTCAGTCTAGTGTTACATTGACGGGAATGTTTTGTATTTATACTGCAACACCATGAAGTTCTCAAAAATTCGAAGAAAAAAAAAGTATCAAATACAAAAAAATTTTCCACACAAGTAATTTCAGTGACATACTGTTTTACGGTGATAAGTGATCAATGAATTTTATCGATATTTTAAAACTAAAGTTTTCTGGTACTTGTTTTTTTTCTTTTTTTAATATTTCATAAAGTAAAAATATAAAAAAAAGCGTAATGCTTGTATTTCAAATGAAAAAATCATTTTATAAACCTTTCAATGGCTTAACCATTATTTTAAAACAATTTTTTCATTATTATTTACTATTTTTTAAATTCCCTTTCTTTACTTAAAATAAGAATAAACTAACGAAATTTGGCTAATTATCTCTTGAGAGAGATAACGCAAAGGACATAACAGCGTAGCTAAGAGAAATAAAGATACCCCGAGATGTAACCCAGAGGCGGAAGGGGATGAGGCGGACGCATGAATATAAATGTAAAGCACGAGGAGCCGAGGCGAGGCACGACGTACAGCAAGTATGTATGTACGAGTACGGAGGAAACGGCCTTTGAAATCTTAGCTCGCGGCTAAAAGCGAGGCAAGACGGGGGGGGGGGGGGGGTACGAACGGAAGTCTCAAGACCTCCGCACGTGTATATTCATATACGTATACACTCGTCTAGGGAGGCTCAATTTCAATTTGGAGTCTCGGGGGTGTCGTTGCGAAACGAATATAATTATGCGGAATAATTCTGACGCGGCATCGGGTTCGCTTGTACACGTCCCGCAAAGATGTGTACGTGTGTAGGTACTCGGGTGGATGTACGCGAAAGGACTGCTGTTCAAGGGATCGCCGTTGCGCGAATCATCCGCATAAATTTCGCGAGAGCCCGCGCATTTTCCGCTTTGCCGCCCTGCTAAATTAATCGCAGATTCCAATCGCACGCGCGCGCGCACTCGTTTTACCTCCTTTTGAGCTGCTGCTGCTGTGTATACACCTGTATAGTTGTACCTAGAGTCGCGAGGTGTACTTGTACAAGGGCGTGCTTTTACAGGGAGGATTTTTTTCTCAATGCCACTACAGTGGAAAATTCATAGTTTTCCTTCGATATGTAAAATGTTTATGAGACTAAAACTTCGAAAAAAAATCGTTTCTTCATCCAATGGAGAGACTCAGATGTTTAATTACACGCTCAAAATTGCGTGAACAATCACCTGCAATTGCTTTTAATTCTAGAATCTGTGATAACTGCTCACTTAACCATAAATATTTTTTCTCTTAATCTTTGATTTGTGGTATTTGTTTTTATTCTTTCTCAATTTCATTCACAAGTAATTGATCTCGTTTTAACAACTCATCATGTTACAATCTCTAATGTACTGTTATCGTGTAAGTAGACCTACGCTGACGAATTACTTTATCACAGATAATACACATGCTTCAGGTTCATCCAAATCTAAGAATCTCAATTCCTATGTATAAGAATAGTTTCAAAAGGTTTCAACAAAAAAAGCCAAAATGACTGCCACTTTGTTTATCGAATCAGTAACCAAGCATTTTCTGAAAAAAAAAAGAATCTTTCCTGCCCCAAACAAGCCAAATGGTACAAAAACTGGATTCATCTGCACAGGGAGTCTCAAAGCTGTTGAAACACATATAATATCCACTCGTGCAATACCACACTCCCCTCTTAAAATCCCACGTAGAGTGCAGGGGGGGTCATCATTTGTCAGGAGAAAACAAGATATTAAACAACGACCAGGGGATGAGGCTTCGAAGAGTGGAGAGGTTGCCGGCACTCGCGCGCATACACTCAACTTAATTTTCATTCAAGGCATTCCGAAAGAGCTGGGACTTTCGGGCCATTAAGCAGCGGCTATCTTTTGCCGTTGCTCATCGTGGAAGGGTGAAAGCTCGCGAGTTAATGCGAAGCGTGGATATGAGCCGCACGTGGCTCTCGGGTGACGCCCGAATCACGGCAGGGAGCAGTGAAACAAAATGCTCTTGCATATTATTTGACTTGTGGAGTTTGTGATTAGGAAATCACATGCTCTTACCCGTCAATTACTTTCTGCATTGAAAATAAAAAATTTCTTGGTATGAAGAGAATATTCACTAGAATAGTTCCAAGTGAACAGTTTCTTGAAACAAAATATTATTTTTTGGTTTGAAATGAATATTTTATTGAAATTAAAAAATTTAGTTTTATTTGAAGGGATTGTTTACTCGAGTAAACAATCGGAATGATTCTAGTAAATGTTTTCTTACGTCTAAGAATTTTTTTTCGGTAAGGAAAATTACCTCTTTAACTGAAAGTTAAATACAACTTGAAAAGAACGTACTTGGCCATCCTTTTGTCTTGTACATCGCTGAAGTTACAATACGGAATAATTATCGATAGTCAATTGATAAAAAATCAAGTATGATACACTTCCAAGACTCTTTCAACAATCGTTTATGTCGTAAAACGAAAAAAAAAATTTTACTCGCCAAAGCAGTAGCTACAGTTTCACACGCGCGTCTCTCCTGTTAGATAAGCAACATAAATTTCAGTCAACGGGACGATCGGACCATATGTGGACACGAGAGACGCCAGAGATGTCAGAGCGTCGCGTATGATGTGCTGGAGTGTCTCATATGCAGCCCTTTTTTTAATATTACTCTCGAGTCAAGGCTCGTGAAGTATTTACGACTAGACTCCACTCGTAGGTGTACATCCTCTTGCGGATGTATGACACAGGGATGCATGTTTCTGCACGTTTCATAAAAAAAATAGAAACCAGAGCTTGTGATTTTTTACGTTCTCAGTTGCACAGTGTATTCATAGACGCATACAAACGTAACTCCCAGAACTGGCTGCAACATATACTTTTTTTTCTAATCTCACGTTCTCTTATTCCATTTTCTTTGCTCTGTGCGGGATCGTTTATCCATGTACGTTTTTCGGCTCTGGCGTTTTGCGAGTATGTGTCATCGTATCTCGTCCAGAGGAAATGGTGTGCTATCAACACTCATGTGTATTTATGACGTTGGCTCGTCATAGCATTTTTTACCCGTTTTGCAAGTTAGCTGCAACGTTTAGCTCGAGATTTTATTTCATCCGGAGGATTACATTTTTTTAACGAATTACAGAATTTGCAACGTCTAAATATTCACTAAATTGAAGAATTCGAGAAGTGTGTATTAGAAGTGAATGGCATAAACACTCTCAAGATGAGTATTTAACTAATGGTAACACAAAAGCTGCATAATTATTTGTATATTAATTTTTTTATTGTTTAAAATTTATTTATGACATTATTTATGAATTGTTTTTCTGCGAGTCACATGTTAAATCAATAAATAAACCTCCTGGTTGTTACAACATTAATAACTAAATGTTACACAAATATTTACAATACTTGAGTATTCATAAATCTTTTAACATCCATATCAATATCCATCAAAAAATTTATTAGAAAATTATTATTTTACTCATTAAGAATGACAAGAGATTAAGGAATCATTGGCTTCAAATGCAGGCTCTTATAGAATTGTCACCATATTCAATTGTAACTTTTATATGCTTGTGTATCATTGTATAAGAAGAAGTTTATTGTAAATGTAAAAATAGTTGCATTTATTTTATTAGACTTTTATAGAAATGCTTATTAAAATTTCAAAAAAAACAAACAACGTGTCCTACATATTACCCGAAGACTTACATAATCTTGAGAATGATTGATATACTTGATAAGCACGAGGACTAGACCATTGAAGTAACAGTTTAACTTGGTCAGTTGCTTGAT